TTATAATAGAACATGCCAGCATATTGAAGATCTGGACAATTCAGCCAACATTACCCACATGAACAGTGTATTATGCTATCAAATCACAAATACAGAAAAGGCCCAAAGTATAAAACAGACCAATGGATTTATCTAACAAAGTACAAAAAGTGCATGGTACGGTGTTAGACTCCACACCACAGCTCTAAGAAAGGACTCATTATTGAGTATTGATGAAAAGTCACAGAAAAATATCCATACTTATCTGAAGAAAAATCCACACTTCTAATACTTACCTGAAAAAAACTATTAGGAATTAATTACTTTAAAAATTAGCCTCATATCTATATGAGGGTGGGTTTTCCTCATAAACTTAACCCAAAGTAACATATCAGAAGAGATAGAGGGCAGAAATAGATATGAGATTCCGGGTGTTTTAAGAGATTTATAAAAACATTAAGCAATGCCACTCACAAATGTTTTTGTTTTGAAAAACATAGTAAACATGTAACAAGTTTGTTACTTTCATTTTAAGAGAGATAACACAGAAATATGATTTTTAAATTTTCCATTTAAATTTATAACAGTAAATATCAATAGAAGTAACCTTTGTACTCAAAAGCTCTTTGGAGTACTCCATCATTCTTAAGAGTGTATAGGGGTCCTGACACCAAATATTTCAGAACTTCTACTCAAGGCATTCATCAGAAGACCACATCGACCTGTATAAATACAGAATAATTGGGCTACATGAAGCTGAGAACGTGTTAGAGGACTTGGCATGGTGCACATGCTACAAAGTAGGGAGCTAAACAATTTGAAGAATCAGGGACCCGCGACAGAACTGCAAAGACAGTAGGGGTCCACTGGTTTAAGACATGACAGGACACTCTTCAAAGGGTAAGAGAAAAATTATTATATCTGGTAATTCTCACTGCTAAAGTTAAAGCATAATGCTTGGCAAGTACTTTGGGTTCTAGAGGCAACATATTCCACTTTGAGAATACTGCTCTGGTTCACATGCAAGGGAACATGAACATGTTTCCAGCTTTCATTGAGGATAGAAGCAGAAAAGACTACAAGAAACCCTACTGTTTGATTCTTAGGCCTTGGAGTACTTCATAATAGTAGGCATTTTATAATGGGAAAAGACTGTAGATTCTCTGGTCTGAGATTCCATATAACACTGAATCAATGGTCCCACTTACAACAATGGACACTAGATTTTGGATCCACTAGTCTTGTCACCAACCAATTTACCCAGAAACTGCTGGCCTAAGAGAGTTATAGAATGGCCTTTTAAATGTGAGTTGCAGCTTGCAGACTATATATAGTCTAGGAAAGTGAGTGATCATTTTATTGGCTGTGCCCTAAATTCATTCAGGAGCCAAGGAACAGACACAAGAGTGGCCACATTTCCCATATTCTCAATGGTCCAGTTTGGAAATTTGTGACTTGGGTCCCTGTAACTTCAGCCTTCATGGTTGGAGGTCCTGTTTCCTAGAGGGGCAAAGCTTCCTTCAGATGTAACAACAATAGTTCCTTTTAATCCACTCACCTTGAGATGCTCATGTCAAGCAGCTAGTGTATAAGAAAAGGAGTCTTCAAATTGACAAAGGTAATTGTGACCACGAGGAAGGGATAGGGTTGTTGCTATACAGGGGGCAGGGGGGAAAGGGAAATATATGTTTGGCAGCTAGATTATTTACTTGGGCATCTCTCAGTTCTACCGTGTCTAGTTTTAAATGTATAAGGATAAATGCAGTAGTCATGGCTTGAAAAGAGCTTGGTGACCAATGGGTCACATCCATCAGAGATGGTAGAGATACTTAGACATCTCGATCAGAAAAGAGACTGGAAGATATTCAAGACAATATGAAATGGTGCCTTAATTAATGTGAGGGCTAACGTTCTGGGTCACTTGAGTGGGCCATGGTTTGCTGGTTTGACAGTTATGGTGTGGCTATTCCTCATGATGAGGGTTGGTATAATGTAATTACCCCAGGATGAGATCTTCTATGAGCAGCCAATCCATTGGAAGGGAGTTTCCTTAGAGGTTTCAAATAAATGAGTACTTCCAAAAGTTTTGCTACAAAATCATAGACATCTGTATTAAATAGAAATAGTAAAATATAAAGGTCTTGTATCTTAACATAGCTTCATCTAGCTCTATACATTTCTGACATTTCTGAATGTTCCCAAGAATTGCCCCACCACTCATTTTTGCTCCTAGATCTATAACTTAAGATCAGGTGAGCGGCAAAAGGTCAAGTACACGCTGTGGCCCATGAGTGGGTAGTTACACTCCAAGAGGATGGTTTAAGTTTTCTAATATGTACACGTAGAAGCATCAGGGCTATGTGTGGGAATGAATGTTAAGGATGTGGGTTAATGAGGTGATAAACAAAGTTGGATCCATCTGAGTTTATTGATGTGGGCCCTCTAAGCAGATTCTTCATTCAATCTATGTTTCAGCTCACGAGGTTAGGGAAAGATCTAATAACTTATTTGGTTGGCTCACTAAAGCATGAATTGTGTGGTGGCTTACACTAATCAAGCTGAAGCACCAGACTTGCGGTGGTATACTATACAGAAGGTATCCAAAGGCTTAGAGAAATTGGTGTATTATAGTAGGTTTACTAGTGGGTTTATCATAGACCTAAACAGAGTGCCAGGGTACACAACCTTTACCATACACATCTCATGCCCAGTGTACACAACGTTTTACCAGTGAGGAACAAATTTGTGAAGGAGATCCCAGCATCCTTTAATACTGCTATGATGGCTATTTTATATAAGTGAGATTTGACATTGGAGATATTCCTAGTTGCATTAAGAATACCTACTACAATGGGGCTGATTGAACCCTGTGGTGGTAGGGGTCAAGTGGCAGTACTTGTGAGACAATGTGGCCAAGATTAACATGATGGATAGCAGAGTCAAAGTGGGAGTAAGAATAGTCTGACTTATATGGACTTAT